AACCAGATGAGAGACAGCTGGCTTGGGCGCAGTCGGGCCACGCCCCTCCACATCTGTACTGTGGCCTGATGAGCACCAAAGGGACACAGCTGCCAAGTATGTGCCCTGCACCCTTCCTTGCTGCCAGTCTCCTCAGGTCCTAAGGGCAGGAACCCTGGGTCTCATGAACTTGAGGCGAACTTTGTCGCTGTGACGAATGCACCGGCGTGCCTGTCAGCTGCACACCCAGGGACGAAGGTTCCTGTGGCTGCGCAAGGTGGGGCGAGGTGGGCAGCTCGGAGACAAGGGCACCAGGTCCATGACGACAGCCCCAAAGGGAGGCAGGTGCAGACGGTGCAGCAGGCGTGGCATGCCTGCATATGTAACTGCAGTGGATGCCAGGGGTCAACCTCTGTGGCCTGTGCTCAGCTCCACACCAACCTCCACCACTCTACCACTACCAAAACCTCCACCACCTCCAACATCCCCATTACTCCCATCACCTCCTTCACCTCCACCACTTTCACCACCTCCACCACTCTATCACCTCCACCACCTCCATTACCTCCACCACTTCCACCACCTTCACCACCTCCACCTTCACCACCTTCACCACTCTATCACCCCAATCACCTCCAACACTTGACATTTCCACCACCTCCATCACTCCCATCACCTGCATCACACCATCACCTCCATCCCACAGCTGTCACCTCCTCTACCTTGACTGTCACTGCTAATCCTCATGTGCTCATACTCACCATATCATCTCCACACCCTTGCTTCCATACTTTCATCCAGCTGTTGTCCTCACTCCAAACAACATTTGCATCACCAGTCCCAGCATCAGCTGTTGGTGTTCTTGGCCCAACTCCATCCCACCAAACCCTCCATTATCTGAGAGTCAGACTCACAGAGAGGGTAGAGAGAGGGTCAACTCCTCAGATGGCTGCATGGATGGGGCTTGGTCAGGCCAGAGTCAAAAGCCAGAAGTCTGCTACAGGTCTCTCACATGAGTTACAGGGGCCCATGCACTTGGACCATCTTCCACTGTTTTCTCAGGAACATTAATGGGGAGCTGGGTTAGAAGCCGAGCAGCTGGGGTTCAAACAGATGTCGACATGGGATGCCAGCGACACAGGCAGAGGCTTAGCCTGCTACATCACCGTGCTGGCTACCTTGTAAGGTATTGCTCACCTGTAGGGAGCAGTTAGGCACCTGGCCTGAGAGGGTGTTCCCAGAGCAACTGCTGTAAGTTCCACTTCTTTCTGGATCTTTATGCTCCATATTTTGGTCTCGTCCATTTGTCCATGCTTGCGAATCAGCCCTCAGGATGAACACCCTGTTGTAGAAAGAGGGTTCAATTAGTCAATTGAGGAGAGCCAAAGGGGGCAACTATTTAGGAAGGTTGGGGTCTACGCTGGTCTAGTTTTTTTTTTTTTTTCTAACTGGGGACAGAAGGGGTTGCCACCGACCAGTGTCAGAGAGAGGCCAGGGCCTGCACTTGGGGAGCTGGCCATGTCTCAGATCCATGTCTAGCAGTGGGGTTGGCACACATTACTCCGATCCTTGGTGTTGTCACCCACTGTGAACACCAAACACTCTAGCTCTCCTCTGCTTCCTGATGCCACCCTTCCACGGACACACAGAGGCCAGGAGGATCTTTCTGGAAAGTAACCAAGTGCCTTACACCAGCCCGTTTGAAATGTAGAAGTGATCTGCTTTCCTTAGCATAACATCAACCGTCCTCAGGGTCAGTGCTAGAGCATAGCAAGTTAAGCTGCTCCACTTCTGATCCAGCTCCCTGCTAACGCAGCTGGGAAAGCAGTGGCATCAGTGCTTGGGTCTTCAGGGACGTGGCGGGAGTTCGAGTCTCCTGACTTAGGTTCTTGTCATCTGGGGAGGAAACCAGTAGATAGAAGATCTCTCTCTCTCCCCGCCATAACTCTGCATTCAAATAACTATTTACAAAACCCCAACGAGGAAAAAAACAATTTCACTGTATCTTACAGAGTCCTCCTACATTCCCTGTCTTCTCTCTCCCCCCCTCTTCTCCCATCTCTCTTCCTGATTCTCTGTGCTCCAGCCACCAGGACCCTCTTTCAGTTCCAGGATACGTCATTTCAGACTGGGCTGCAGCACATGCTGGCAATGCACAAGACCTGGGGCTGAAAGTGTGCCTGGTAGTGGAGCTTTGGGGACTCCCTTTTGGGCTGCCGTTTCCACTGGTGGAGCATGAGAGCTGGGGCTGGGGGCAGGCCAGGCTGTGTTAGGCAGCAATCTCTGGCTTGTGCTGGGATTGGGTGCAAGTCATGTCAGGCTGGACTGCAGTACCCTATGGTAGGTGCAAGATCCAGGAATGGGAGCAGGCCTGGTAGGGGAGCTGTGGGTACTCCCTGCTACAGCCCCCACCAGTGAGCATAAGAGCCAGGGCTGGTCAGGAGAAGGTCAGGTTGATCAAACAGCAGCACCCATTGGCATACATGTAGGTTGGTTCTGGGGGCAAGTCAGGCTGAGCTAAACCGCAGCACTCATGGGTGTGCATGACAACCAGATGGGATGTGAGACAGACCAAGCTAGGCCACAGCACATGCAAAGACTTGGGTTGGGAGTGGGTCCGGTGGGTTTTATTGGGCTATCCTAATTAGATCATAGCACCCACTGTGAAGACCAGGCCTGTGGTGGGCTGGGTTGGGCTAGGCTAGGTTACAACACCCATCAGTTTGCGTGAGCAATGGGGCTGGGGGAAAAACTGACCAGGCAGCTGCATTTACCAGTTTATTTGCTGGCTGGGGCAGGTGATGGACTGAATCTGGGCCTGCACTGGCTGGCACATACAGCAATCAAGTCTGAGGTCACCCCAGGTGAGGTTTCTTGGGGGACTTCCCAACTAGACGGCTAGACTTAAACCCTGGCCACAAGGAAATTACAATGTATGTGGTCCGACCTTGCAGTGCATGTATTAGGACTGGGCCTCCTCTGTTACTGATGCCTGTGCAATGGACAGCGTGCCCAGAGGCAGATGGGGGGGGCATGACGACCAGCTCATCTAGGCCAGTAAAGGATGTTGAGTGCTCTGTCAGAGGATGCAAAATAGAAAAGGTTAGGCAACAATTCTGAAAGAGTTTGCAGCAAGGATCTGGGTCTGTGGATACACTAAAGGTAGACTTGGTCAGCCAATAGACCTTGGAAAGATTCTCTCAACCCCGGTGCAACAAAACCAACAATATCTCAGAACTATCAGAACCATTCTTCCTCACACCAGGGTCCCTAGGGCATCATCAAATGACTGTCCCCACCCCTGGGTGCTGATGTAGTTTCATAGCAAGGAGTGTTCCCCTTCCTACACGGCAGACACAAGAGAAAACAACTGAAATATTTGTCTCACGCTCCTTCCTCGGTCCCTGACCCTCCCCACCCTCATCGGAGAAGGTGCATCCTTCTAAGCTATGTAAACAATAATTCAGAAAGAAATCCAATAAAAATGTTGTGTCATGAGCATTTTAACCATGGAAAAAATAGAATGAGTGGGGTTTTCATTTAGCTTCGTGGTTCAGATGCCAGTTATGCATGTCCCTTGTAAGGGTTCCTGGGTCTGAGTCCCGACCCTGGCTCCTGACCCCAGGTTCCTGCAAACACAGACCCTGGCAGGCAGTGGGCTTGGCTTAAATGGTTAGACTCCTGCCATCCATATGGGAGACCTGGATTGAATTCCTGGCTCCTGGCCTCAACCCAGCCCAGCCCAGCCCAGCCCAGCCCTGACAGCTGTGGCCATTTTAGGGGACTGAATCAGCAGATGGCAGCTCTGCTTGTCTCTCTGACTCTAGAATGGCAAATAAAGTAATTAAACCAAGAAGGGACAGAGTCAGAGGTCATCGGACAGCAGGGTGGGCAAGGGTACTGCAGAAGGGGGAAGTGTGAGGGCAGAGGTGTCACGTGAGACGGTCGCGCATCAAGGAAGTGGAACGTCCTTGCAAAGCCTCTTAGGGAGCTTCTGCCTCTGGCCATGGGGGCCTTTGATGGCTACTGAGCAAGAGAGCGGCACAGGGCTTGCACAGGGCTGGCCAGGGTGGGTCAGAGAGCTAGAGGGCTGAGGGTGGCGAGCCCTGGGTGAGGGTGGCCTTGGAGACAAGTGGAGAAGGCCATCCTGAACAGGTGGCGTTGAGGGTGACAAGGGGAAAGAAACCCGGCCTTTGCTGTTGTTTCACGGTCAAGGTTTGGGCAAGGCCAGCTCCGGAAGTCAGTCTCTTTCTTCCCCCCTTGTTACCTCCTGGGTCACTGGCTGTGGCAATGCTGGGACAGGAGGCGGAGGGGCAAGGCAGGGTATGTGCCGGAGCAGGTACTTGGCCGGGGCTGGTCCCGCTGCTGCCCTTGGAGCTCTGATGGAGTTCATTAGCAGATAGCGCTGTGGAGGAGCCAGCACACGGGGTGATGACTGAGCAACAGGCATATAAACACACTTGGAGCAGGGAGCAAGGAACAAAACCCTGGGGGAGCCCAGCCTCCCACCACCCTTACCCCCAGTGTAATAACACCACTGTCTCATGGGGCCAAAGGGCCTAGGCGATACGAATCAGAGACCGCCCCTCTTCTTTTTGTAAACCAACAATAGCTTGTGACACAGGATGGCCAAGCCAGGGTTTTCTCAAGGGTGACTTCCCAGCTGTCCATTGAAAAATCCTTCCCAAACTTATGCAGCCAGGAGAACCCTCCTGCTGCGGGGGGGGGCAGGGCTCCAGGGAAGACTATAAGAGTGTCTGTCCCATGGGTCAGTGCGTGAGCAGTGGGCCCTACCTACCCAGAATCCCTGGTCACAGCCCGTCTCTGGGCCACTGGAGACTACCTGGAGTGTCAGGCAGGGTGGTGTTGTGGTTTCCACATGGAAAGTGGTCAGAGGGTGATGTGTCCCTGAGACGGGCCCAGGGCTTGCCCCAGGTGCAGGTGGGAAGCTCTCCGTGGAGGGAGGCCTGGGGACAGGTACCACTCACTGACGCCTCTTCTTGCAGGTCCCTCCGGACGTGATGGCCTGGCTGTGGCTCTCCTGCGTTCTGCTTTCTGCCCTCATGGCACCTGGTAGGTGGCTCCCCTCCCTGAGCAGAGGGCTGCTAAAGTGGGGACCCCCCCTGGCAGGGACCCTTGGGAGGGCACGGAGTGGTCCCTTCCCTGGCTGGCCCTGACATGGCTATCTTGGGGAAGAATTCAGGCGTGGGCCGGAAGCTGGATTGAGGCTGGTGTCCGGGGGAGCAGGAAGGGTCGGGCTCCGCAGGGGCGCCTGAATATTCCAGCTCTGTGTTTTTACAGTGGCAGCCAACACGCCCCCATCATTCCAGGGCACTTTGTTTGTGGTGCTGCCCGAGGACCTGCCAGTGGGTGAGTAATGCTCCCTGTGCCGCATGGTGCCCAGCTCTTTCCCATCATAGCCCGCAGGGGCTTGCACACAGGCTTGTCCCTGTCCCCAAAGCCCTGTGGGTCACCTGGGGTCAAGCAGACCAGAGGGGGCTTGCCCAGTCCCCAAGGTTTACTTTACTTATTTATTTTATTTATTTTTGGGTTATTTGTTTATTTGAAAGGCAGAGCTACAGAGAAGAAGGTACAGAGGCAAAGAGAGAGATTTGTCATCTGCTAGTTCATTTTCAAATGGTTGCAAAGACCTGGGTTAGGAAGCCAGGAGCCAGGAGCTTCTTCTGAGTCTCCCACTTGGGTGCAGGGTCCCAAGAATTTGAGCCGTCCTCCGATACTTTCCCAGGCCGTAAGCAGGGAGCGGGATGGAAAGTAGAGCAGCCGGGACTCAAGCCGGCTCCCATAGGGGATGCCAGCACCACAGGTGGGGGAAGGTAGTTATGTAAAAGAGGAAGTCAACTTGAAGAACTATCTTCATCAACGAGAGCCTTGGGTAAGGCCAAGGCCACGGTGGTGGTGCAGGTGTGAGGAAGATGAGGCTTATTGCCCCGGGTGAAACCAGAGGAGCTGGTTCTGATTCTCTGCGGTGCATGACACAGGCTAGGGAGGCAGGGACCGTCACGCTCTGTATTTGTTGGGATCCCAAATAACAGTGGCTGAACCCCAGGTTCTGCTCCCTTAGGCAGAACCCTGGCTCCAGGCAGCTGCAGGCATCGGCCGTCTCCGGGCTCGGCCAGGCTCTGCCAGCTCTGCCACAACGCCAACCCCTTTTGCATAGCCTGTGTTTTTTGTTTCACGTACATTTTTTTCTGGCAGATATCTTGAATCACCATTCTTTCCATATACATGTCAACGGTCATGAGCAAATGTAGTCATCTCTTGCTGCGCACAGGGGACTGCGTCAGGAACCCCTGCGGATATCAAAACTCACATTAGAGGGCCCGGCGCGATGGCGCAGGGGTTAAGATCCTCGCCTTGCACGCCCGGGATCCCATATGGGCACAGGTTCTAATCCTGGAGGCCTCACTTCCCTTCCAGCTCCCTGCCTGTGGCCCGGGAAAGTAGTCAAGCACGGCCCAAAGCTTTGGGACCCTGCACCTGTGTGGGAGATCTGGAAGAGGCTCCTGGTTTCAGATCGGCATAGTATCGGCCGTTGCGCTCACTTGGGGAGTGAATCATTGGATGGAAGATCTTCCTCTCTGTCTCTCCTCCTCTCTGCCTTTCCAATAAAAATAAAATAAATCTTAAAAAAAAAAAAAACTCACATTAGAGACCCAGAAGAAGCTCCTGGCTCCTGGCTTTAACCTGGCACAGCCCAAACTGCTGTGGTCATTTGGAGAGTGAACCAGCAAATGGACAATCTCTCTCTCTCTCACTGCCTTTCAAATAAATAAAATAATTTTTAAAAAAATGACCTTCCTGAGATAAGGAAATGTGATGCAGGCATGGGTGGCTCCTTTTAAATTGAAGATTATTTATTTATATTGGAAAAGCAGATATACAGAAAGAAGGAGAGATAGAGAGAAAGATCTTTTATCCACTGTTTCTCACCCCAAATGGCTGCATTGGCCAGAGCTAAGATGATTTGAAGCCAGGAGCCAGGAGCTTCTTCTGGGTCTCCCACGCAGGTGCGGGGTCCCAAGGCTTTGGGCCGTCCTCGACTGCTTTCCCAGGCCACAGGCAGGGAGCTGGATGGGATGTGGAGCAGCTGGGATACAAACCGGTGCCCATATGCAACCCTGGGCATGCAAGGTTAGGGCTTCAGTTACTAGGCTGTCGTTCCGGGCCTTGACATGATGGCTCCTTAGCAGGATGCCAGAGGCGTGGGCTCCAGAGGTGGTCCAGCAGAGGCCGAGGGGCTGACTCTGGTGGGTGTGATGAACCTGTGAGATGGCCCTTCAAGCTGGAGAGGGGATGGCCTTGTGTCAGTCAGTGCCCCTCCTCCTGTGTTTCAGCTGCTCTCTGCCCAGCATTCTGCAGAAGCCTGAGGCTCCAGGGAGACCAGCAGTAGGTGCCGCTTTGGCTAACTGGAGTAGAGAGTTCTGGAAGGTTCCAGGCAAGCTCTTGAGGCAAGAGGAAGGGTAAAAAGACGTTTTTAATCCCTGACTGGAGGAAGCGGCTAGCAGGAAATCTGGAACTCATAAACTCTAGCCGGAATTCGTCTTTTCTCAACCAAGCCAGTGTTGTGATTCCAGGCAGGGCTGGGGCTTTGCCAGGGATTGGTGGGGAGGGCACCCCACTGACAGCATCCCGGGATACCTTCTCAAAACGAAACAAAACAATAACAACAAAAACAAAACTCAAGATGCTGTAATCAAGAGGCCTTTGAGTAAACAGGTACCCCCAAATCAGCAGTAATAGGAGCTAGGGACGCCCCACATTTCCAGTGGTGCCCGGGACAGCTAGGCGGCCAGCCTGGACGACCGTGACTTTGGATGTTTCTGTCCCAGGCAACAAGGCCTTCCAGCTCAGTGCGACCGACCGGGATGGAGACAAGGTGACCTATGGGATCAGCGGTCTCTACGCCTACTTCTTCAACGTCAACTCATCCACGGGGGAGGCGACCCTGGCGAGCCCTCTGGACTATGAGGTAAAGGGTACAGCATGAGGTGGTGAGGGGGTGGCACTCCACAGGCAGCGACCCGGTGGTAGGCACCCCGCCTCAGGTCCCACCCGAGCAGTGGCTCATGCCCTGTCCTTCTTCCTGGCCCCACAGACGCAGACCCAGTTCAGAATCACTGTCTCCGCCAGTGACGGCTATAACAACCCGGTGAGTGGCGCACGTGACAGGGGAGGGCACGGTGGTCCCCAGCCTGGGGGTCCACCCCGGACCATGTCACCTTCCCTAGACGGGGTGGGGGGAGTGCACCAGGAAAGGCAGAGTTAGAGAGAGAGAGAGAGAGAGAGAGAGAGAGAGAGCTTCCTCTCTGCTCTCAGCACAACACCTTTACCCTCTACACCACAACAGCCTCATCGATGTTGATTTGTACCAAAATCACTTGTCCACCTTTTTGTCACATTATCATGAGTTTAGTATTATTTATTTTAAGTCTATAAATAGATTGTTCATATTACAACTAGAAAATTGATTCTATGAGTTCATATTAATATAAATGGCTAGTTTCCATTACTCTAAATATTGTTTGAAAGCAAGTGTATTGTGGCACAGTGGATTAAGCCTCCATTTGAGATGCAGGAGAACAGTTTGACGCTGACTTGCGTACTTGCCATCCAGTTCCTCGCTAATGCGCTTGGGAGCTAGCAGCTGATAAGTCAAGCACCAGGGCTCCTGCCAAGCATGTGGAAGACCTGGATGGAGCTGCTGTCTCCTGATTTCAACCTGGCTCAGCTCTGGCTGCTGAGGCCAGGTGTGGAGTGAACCAGCAGATGGAAGACCTCTCTCTCTCTTTCCCTCTCTCTCTTTTCCTTTCAAAGAAATACATGAATGAATGCTTGCCTGTCGGGGCAGGCATATAACCCGTGCAGGTGAGGGGATCTGCGTGCCCCGCGGCGGAGTCCCTGGGTTCCGGGCTCGGTTGCACGCCTGCAGACTCCAGCTGTTGGCGAGTGCGGATCCTGGGAGGCCGTGGTGGCATGGGTCCTGCCGCCTACATGGGAAGCCTGGACAGAGCTTCTGGTTCCTGGCTCCTTCAGTCCCTCCCTGGCCCGGCCTTGTGCGCAGGTGCACTTGGGCAATGAGCCAGGGACAGGAGTGCACTCTTTCACACTCAAAAAAAAAAAAAAGTGTCGATGTCTGACCCCAGTGCCTTCAAGGTGCTTGCCTTCAGTTTTTTTTGGCTGAATCTGTTGCTATCTATGTGTGTATTTATGTCCTTTTTGGAAAAGATTTATTTATTTGAATGTCAAAGAGGGGAAGGGAGAGAGAGAGAGAGAGAGATCTTCCATCAGGTGGTCCATTGCCCAGATGGCTGCAACAGCTGGGGGGCTCGGTCAGGTTGCAGTCAGGAACCAAGAGCTTCTCCCAGGGCTCCCACGTGGGTGTAGGGGCCCAAGCTCTTGGACTGTGCTTTGCTGCTTTTCCTAAGCCCTTAGCAAGCAGCTGGATCAGAAAGGGAGAAGCTGGGATACGAACTGATGCCGATAAGGGATGCTGGGATTGCGGGAGGAAGCTTTCCTTGCCTTGCCACAATGCCGACTCCAACACGCGTGTTTCTCAGTAACATGTTCATGTTGCCGCACCCTGAGTCTGTGGTAGTTGAAGGTTTTTTTTATCTCTAACACCTTGGCTGCCCTCCATCCATGTAAAGTGTCATTTGCATCCCTTGCTGCAGTGTTCTGTGGGAAACCTTAGAAACAAAAAAGGTTTCACTCGCTCATGGAGGCGCCAGAGCATGGTGAGGGCGCCAGCTGGGCCCTGGTGAGCGCTCAGGCAGTGGCATCCCAGTGGGAGGAGAGTGGTGAGGAAGGAAGCCAGGGAGACAGGGAGTCGGGGGCACTAGGAATGCCCTCCCACTGTACCTACTCTTAAAGGGATCACCACACTAGAAGCCCACTCTAGTCACGTCCAGACCACAACCTGCGTGGCACTCTTTGGACACACTTTAGAAACTGCAGCTGGACCTTGCACAATGACTCAATTGGCTAATCCTCTTCTTTCAAGTGCCAGTGTCCCATATGGGCACCAGTTGCGTTCCCTGTGGCCCCACTTCCTTCCCATCCAGCTCCCTGCCTGTGGCCTGGGAAAGCAGTCGAGGATAGTCTAAAGCCCTGAGACCCTGCACCTGTGTGGGAGAGCTGGGAGAAGCTCCTGGTTTCAGATCAGCTCTGGCTGTTGCGGCCACTTGGGGAGTGAACCAGTGGGTGGAAGATCCTTCCCTCTCTGTTTCTCCTCCTCTTTGTAAATCTACCTCTCCAATAAAAATAAATATTTTTTTTAAAAAAGAAAGAAAGAAACTGAAGCATCTCCTTGGATGCAGCTTCCTGGGCCTGTCTCACTGCAGGGGCCCGTGGGAATGTGTCTCCCCGACCCCTCCCGGAGTGGCCGTGAGTAAAGGCTGTGTTCACCCAGAATCCTGCTGCCCACACTGTCAACAGTGCCACGCCCACTCACAGATTGGGCCTACGGCTCTTGCTGTGTGAATGCATGCGTTCTCCCATCTCTAATTCTTCTTACTTAAAAAAAAAATTACTTATTTTTATTTGAATGGCAGATTTTTACAGAAATAGTTGAGACAGAGTGATATCTTCCAACACTGATTCACTCCTCAGACGTCCACAACAGCCAGCCAGAGCTGAGCTGATCCAAAGCCAGAAGCCAGGAGCTTCATCTGGGTCTCCCACGTGGGTGCAGGAGCCCAAGGCCTTGGACCACCTCTGCTGCTTTGCCAGGCCATGAACATGAAGCTGGCTCAGAACTGGAGCATGCAGGACTTGAACTAGATGCTGGCGCCACAGGCTGAGGATTAACCTGCTACGCTGCTGTCAGAGCCCCTGCTACCAGCAGGGGAACGTCCTTAGTCCTCTCTGATGAGCAGCTTGGGTTATTCACAGCTTTGCATGTTCTACAAGTTAAAACGCATTTTTCTACAACAGGGAAGGCACACTGGAGATTCCTAAAGGATTACCGAATGATGTCTGCCCCTCACCTTCAAGTGACTCAGGAAACGGATCGGTCGGGAGAAGGGCACGGGGTGCTTGGCTCTTGTCTGCCGCTTCTGGCATTTTGAATCACCATCTTGGGGCTTTGTCACCTGCAGGTACAGAGGGAAATGCTTGTGATCATTGAGGACAGAAACGACAACGCACCCGTTTTCCAGAACACTGGATTCTCCGCCGACATCAGTGAGGTGACATTTGCCTCCGTGGCGTGGGGAGACACCAAAGCACTGCTCAGAACAGACCCAGCTGGGGGAGGGGGCACAAAGAACCAGGAACATCCTGTCCTGTGGGAAGGGGCGGCTGCGGGAACCAAACCTAGGGCGAGTGGAAATCCGCCGGCCACAGCTGCATCTTGTGGCCATGTTGGATCGCAACACCTTCAGTTACAGAACCGACACTGACACAGAGGGGCTCATGGGAGCTCTGACTGAGGGCATGGCTACATCCGGGCTCTTGAGCCACGTCCCTAGGAAGATCCCTTTCTCCAGCCTCTTGCCCTGCACCTCTGGGTACCTCCACCTCCGGGGATGGCACCAGTTTTCCCTAAGTAATTCCAGGCTCACATCCCACTGACTTTGCAGCTTCTATGGAAGGACTGTTGTCTCTCAGAGGTCCTAGTCAACAGGCCAGGCTGACCCTCATTGCTTAGCACTGTGTGGCCTACGCCCACCCCTGAGCCAACATGGAAGCTTGAGGGGCTGTATCAGCTGGGTCAGCATGGGTTGGCAGAAGGTCTCCCATAGTCGCTGCCAACAGCCTAACACCCCATCACAAGTCTTCATTACTAAGTGCTGCGGAGAACTAAGGCCAGTACTGTCCTAGGTACTGAAGTGGCCTGGCTACCAGATGGCCCTGGTTGCTGCCTGCAGAGGCCCCCATTCCAGTGAAGGGCAGAGACAGAAGCCAGCGAGACGTAACAGGTTTATTGCAGTTGGTGTTACGCTCTATGGAGATTATTTGGCGGGGAAAAGTGAAAGCAGCGAGTGTGCAGCGCCCTGCCTCTCTGAGTTGGCGACCTCTGAAGGGAACAGAAACTGGCTGTGACATCCTATTGGGAAAGGATGCTCCCGGCAGGTGCACAGGTCCTGAGGTGGGAACGAGCTCAGCCAGCTCAGCTAGAGGACAGTGAGGAAGCGGTGAGGTCCTAGAGAGGAGTGGGGGCAGCTGCCTGACCCAGAGGGACCCTGGAAGCAGCCTGGACCATATTCTGGACAGCATGCGGGGATGCTTGGAGAGCTTCAGGCACAAGATGGGTGTGGTATGATTCACAATTTCTAAAGGTTTCAGTGGTGGACGAGGGGGCCACGGGAGGGCAGCAGGTATTGTGGCACAATGGGGTAAGCCTACTCCTGGGATGCTGGCATCCCATAATGGAGTGCCTGGTTTGAGTCCAATCCAGCATCCTTCTAGTACGTTCCAGGAGCCAGCAGATGTTGGCTCGAATACTCAGAGCTCTGCCGCCACCTGGGAGACCCGGATGGAATTCTGGCTCCTGGCTTCAGCCTGGTCCAGCCCTGCTGTTGCAGGTGTCTAGGGGAGCAAACTCGTGGGTGGAAGCTCTCTCCGTCCTTCCCTCTACCTTTCAAATCGATGCAAAATAAATTAGCCCTAAGAAAAGCAAATGATCTCTGTGGTCTCTGTAAGGAGGCAGCAAGGGTGTGGACAGGAGCCCAGGAGCAAAATTCTCCCCCAAAACATCAAGCTCTTACAGGACCCTGAAATCAAGGGCTATAGGTAATGGAGAGGTCAGAGGGATGTTTGAGGAGGCAAGTGGCCCAGCCAGGGTGAGTTCTAGAATGTTCCTTCATCCGGGTCCTGAGGGGTTCTTCAATCACAGCCATCTCAGCTGGAGGTGAGAGCAGGGGACTAGGGGGTCCTCTCCCAGCTGCTTCCACAGGCCTGATCCCAGAACCAACTTAGATGTGTTGGAAGAAAGAGGGATCAGGGTCCCTGGGGTGGGAGCAGGGTCCCTGGGGTGGGAGCCCAGCCACGGAGCTTGGAGTGCAAGGGATGGGCCTGAGCCCCCTTGGTGATCGGTTCTTCTTGCAGACCCTGCCGGTTGGTTCCCTGGTGTACTCCGTGCTGGCCGAGGACAAAGACACCGGGTCGTCGGGGATCGTGGAGTACAACTTAACGGAGGTGGGTGAGGGTCCTCGGTAGGTGGCCTGAGGGCTGCGCGTAGCCACCAGAGGGCAGCATCCCCACAGACAACCCACAGAGCGAGGCATAGGCTTTGGCTCTGGCCCCAGTCCTGGTCTCCCGGTGCTGCCCAAACCTGTGTCTCTGCACCTGGAGGCTGATGGGGGAGAGGGGATAGAGGCTGGGGTTGACTGCCCAGGTCACACAGCCAATAAGACTGGGGTGAGCCTCAGGAGGGCTGGTGTGCTGATGGCAGCTGCATCTGTCCAGCAACGTGTCCAGCCCCTCTCTTGTCTCAGGCCACTGAGGTCCTCTCGTCAGCCCTTCCCGGAAGTGGAAGTCAAGGCTGGCCCGTCGGTGGCACGGCTGGGATTCTGTCCCACGTCTCTCAGAGCACAGGCAGGGCCAGGGCTGTCCTGAGACAGCTTGTCTGCTCGTGTTCTGCCACAGATCATCCCCAGCACCGCAGACAGGTACCTCTTCTACATTCTGGACAACGGCTCCATCATACTCAATGGCAGCCTCAGCTACAATAACAAGAGTGCCTTCTACCAGCTCAAATTGGTGGCCTGTGTGAGTTGCAGCTGGAAGCTGCGAGGGGAGGGGTGGTGGTGGCAGGAGTGTCCACACTGGCCTGGCCTGGGCTCACACCAGGGCCATCTCCCTGCAGGACTCAGGTGGCTTGCTCCATGACGTCCATACCGTCCAGTGCTCCTCGCCTGTCTTCCTGTCCATCACGGTGATCGACCAGCCTGACCTTGACCCGCAGTTCATCAGGGACTTTTACTCGGCCTCTGTGGCTGAGGACGCGGCCTTGGTGTGCTTGGGGGTCCTGGGGCTGGGGGGTTTGGAGGGAGGTGAATGGGGGGCACTGAGTGAAGGCTGCTGACCAGGGAGGCTCTCATGCCAGGGGACCTCGGTGCTGACGGTGGAGGCCGTGGACAGTGACAAAGGCGTCAACGATCTTGTGCTCTACAGCATCTCCAGTGAGTACTGGCATGTTCCCAGGGCGGGGCTGTGGGCGAGGGGCCGGTGGACCTGGCTGGGGCTCTCCTGGGCCATGCAGCCAGACGCGCTGCCTGCCTCCTCACCAGATTCCACAAGGGTTGGCTGGTTTGACATTGGAGTTGATGGGGTCATCAGGGTCAGTGGCCCCCTGGACCGGGAGCAGCTGCTGCAGGAGGATGAGGAGGTGCAACTGCAGGTCACGGTCAGTGAAGGTTCCACTGCCCCCTAGCGGCACGGCTGCTCCTGCCTCCGCTGGCCACCTCTGCTGACCCCCCTCAGTCCTTCTGAATTCTGCTCCGCATGGCAGGCCACAGAGAAGAACCTCAACATCTACGAGCAGCAGGCTCAGGCGAGCATCTGGGTCACCCTGGTGGTGACCGATGTGAATGACCACACGCCCGAGTTCTACAGCTGCAACTTCTCAGACTGCACCTTCAGCCCCCAAGAGGTCCAGGCCGACTTTGTGGGTTACGTGGATGAGCATGCCTCCACCCGCATCCCCATCGACAACCTCACCATGGCAGCCTACGACCCAGACAAGGTAGGTGCACGTGGGCAGGGGCAGGAAGGGCGAGGAGAGCCAAGGACAGGTGCCTGGCAGTAGAGATCGGAAGGGTGAATGTGGATGGCATTGAGTTGGTGGTTAGTGTCGGCTGTCGGGTTGAGTGGAGAATGTGCTGATTGGGATAGGGGAAGGGGGAGGGTTTTGGGGGTTTGGGAGAGCCGGGGGTTTGGGAGAGCTGGGCGGTGTGGGGTCTGGAGGGCGCCCTGGTAGAGGCTGTGGTGGTGGCTGGGAGATGTGGCTGCGAGTGGGTGGCGAGTGGCAGTCCGCAGTCGCCCTGCGTATCTGAGGCTTTGTCTTCTGTAACTTCAGTTAACCCAGTCACCTGCGGTCTGAAAAAGGGAAACGGACAAGTCCAGACATGGTTGTTTGTTTTCAAAAAGATTTAGCTTTAAAAAAAACATTTATTTTATTTATTTGACAGATAGGATTGCAGAGAGAGGAGAGACAGAGAGAGGGATGCTCCATCTGCTAGTTCACCCCAAATGGACACAACAGCCAGAGCTGAGCCAAACCAGAACCAGAAGCCAGGACCTTCCTCTGGGTCTCTCACGTGGGTGCAGGGGCCCAGGCACTTGGACCATTTTTCGCTGTTTTATCAGGCACATTAGTAGGGGGCGGGATTGGAAGCAGAGCCACCACTGCTTGAAACAGCATCCGCATGGGCTCCTAGTGTCCCAGGCCAAATAACCTGCTACACCCAGTTATTACTATTTTTTTTTTTTTTGAAAGGAGGAAAAGAGAAACACGCCCAGAGAAAGATGTTCCATGTGCAACAGCCAGATTTGGCGTAAACTGAAGTCAGGAGCCCTACGCTCTTTCTGGGCCTCCCACCCTCCCACGTGGATGGCGGGGGCCAAAGCTCCTGGGCGGTCCTGTCTGCTAGCCTAGAACATTGGCAGGGGCTGGACTGGCAGCAGAGCAGCCGGTCTTTAAAGCAGTGTTCTGATGCCGGTGATGTGACAAACCTCATTGCCTCAATGTGGTCCTGAATTCCTAAGCTGCCATGCTCAGGGCAGTCCCCACGAGATGAGCCCATAGGGGCAGGGTCCAGCCTCTGCCGCTCCAGTCTTTTCAGAGCTCCCCGCCTCCAGTTTCCCCAGGCAAGACCCCCCCCCCTCCAGGCCAGCAAGGCAGGGTCAGCGTAGCTCTGTAGCTCCACGTAGCTCCACTTAGCTCCACGATGATGGTTCCTGACTGCATAGCCGCCACCCTTGCCTTGCTTCCCACAGGGCAGAAATGGCACCTTCCAGCTGACCCTGGCTGGGGCAGACGCCAACGCCTTCAGCGTCTCCCCGGAGCGGGTGGCGGGCTCCGCGGAGGTGCAGGTGCTGGTGCGCGCACCACAGATGGTAGACTATGAGAACAAGACGGTGATGCAGGTGCAGGTGAGCCGCGCCTGGGACTGGGGATGGGGGACCAGTGCGGAAGGAGGCCAGGCAGGCTCAGGCCCCAGGGCTGCCTTTGTCTGCGTCCTCAGGTCGTGGCCACCGACTCTGCCAGCCAGAACTCTTCCACTGCAACGGTGACCATCCACATTAGGGACATCAACGACCACAGGCCCTCGTTCCCCCAGAGCTCCTATGTCCTCTGCCTACCTGAGCACAGTGCGGCTGGCTTCGTGGTTACCAGTGACATTCTCGTGAGTGACAGCGCACGCAGCAGGGGCGGGCTGGGAGGGAGACCTGCAGCCTGGGGCCCTTCGCATGTCGGTGTCTGCTGCTGGCACTGGGAACCTTCCAGCCGGCGTGAGGGTGAGTGTGTGGGGTGGGTGTGGCCGTGCATGAGGCTGAGCGAGCAGGGTTCCCAGTGAGCTGTGAATTGCATGGGAGGCAGCTGCTGCAGCACCCACCACATCCTGCCATCTTTACCTCCCAGGCCACCGACCCTGACACGGGCGACTGGGGCCGCATCACCTACAGTCTGCTCCCAGGCAACGGGTGAGGTCTTGGTGGGTTGGGGTCGGGGAGGGTGGCTAAGGGCCGAGAGAATACAGGCTGTCTAGTTAAATTTTCATTTCAGAAAATGATGAGTACTTTTTTTTAAAAGTATGTGATTCTTAAAAAGGTGTATTTGATTTATTTGAAAGAGTGTCAGAGAGAGGAGACTTGCCACCCATTGATTTACTCCCCAGATGACCACAGCAGCCAGGGCTGGGGCAGGTGGAAGCCAGGACCCTGGGTCTCCAAGCACACGGTTCACCCTCCCCTGTCCTCCCAGGCATCAGCAGGGAGGTGGGTTAGACTGAACTGTGGCTCTGATGTGGGATGCTGGGGTTGCAAATGTTTAACTTGTTGTGCTATGCACTAGCCCCTAAAGAAATTATTTTTACAAGTAATGAATTAATTTGCAAGTGCCAAGGACACACACACTCGTCCCTTTCATCCACTGATTCATTCCCCCAAATTGTTGCAACAGTCAGGAGTGGGCCAGGCTGGAGCCAGAAGCCTCCTCTCTGCCAGGTCTCCCACCTGTGTGTAGGGACCCAAGCCCTCGTGCCGGCCTCCACTGCCTTCCCAGGCACATCAGCAGAGAGCTGGATTGGAAGCAGAGCAGCCAGGCCTCAAACAGGTGCTCTGATGGGACGTGGTCGTCCCGAGCAGCGGCTTAAACTGCTGTGTCACAACGACAGTCTGAGGTGGTCTCTGCTGGAATGAACACGTGCTTGCATTTTCTGTCACCGTCAGGAGATGCCGGAGGCTGGGCAGTTTGCAAAGAAGTTTCTGTAGCTCACACTGCTGGCGGTTCATCAGCGTCAGCTGCACTCCGGCGAGGACTTTGTGACAGAAGGGGCGGGCCGCAGTCCATGAGGGATCATGGACATTGGGAATCCAAAGAGGGCTCAATCTGGTGACCGCGTACTAGGCGCTGCCTCTTCAAGGTCCCCCCACCTACAGATGTTGCTGCACTGTGGACCAAGGGCTTTGCGTGGATGAAGCCTTGGGCTGGTGCAACCACCCAACTGCCTAATCCCCTATCTTCAAGTGCTGACATCCCATGTGGGCACTTGTTCATGTCCCCGTTGCTCCACTTCACATCTAACTCCTTACTTGTGGCCTAGGAAAGCAGCGGAGGATGGTTCAAAGCCTTGGGACCCTGCACCCACATGGGAGACTTAGAAGAAGCTCCTGGCTTTGGATTGGCTCAGTGGCAGCCACTGAGGCCAGATAGAAGATCTTTCTCTCTGTCTCTCTCCTTCTCTTTATAAATCTGCCTTTCCAGTAAAAAATAAAGAATCATAAAACAAACAAACAGAAAACCCCCCACAAAACCTGCTAAAACCATAGCATTCAGGATGTTGTACGACCAGGGGCCTTCAGGCAGCTCATGGGAAACGTTCTCACTGACGTCCCACAAGCTTATTGAAGAGCCCCACTTTACACGGGACGCACACAGAGGGCATTCTGTAATCGTCTTTGCTACATCTGGCCACCCTGAGCAGGGCAGACCTGTTTGCAGTGGACACAAACTCGGGCATGGTGACGGTGAGGGACGGAAAGCTGCTGGACCGGGAAAAGCAGGCCGTGTACTACCTGACGCTGCAGGCCACGGATGGCGGCGACCTTTCGACTTCCACCTCGCTGGAGATCAACCTGCTGGACATCAACGACAATGCGCCCCAAGTCAGCGGCTCCTACAATGTCTTCGTACGGGAGGAGGAGGAGGAGGTCTCCGTGACCATCCAGGTACGAGACCACCTGCACTCTGGCCTGGCCCTTGCAAAGGCCTGTGGCACGGAAAAGGCTGTGATGCCCACCCCAGAGGCCGGTCATGACCACACACACACACACACACACACACACACACACACACACACTTTAGAACCATCCAGGCTTCCCACTGAATTCATGCATTTCTGGAGGGTGCTTCCACATGTCATCCTTCCCACCAGCCTGCAAGTTCCGTGTGGGTGACAACTCTCATTTTAAAGCAGGTCGGCTCCCAGCCAGATGCTGGGAGATGAAGCCAGCCCCCTGCTTGAATGGAACCTGAGGCACCTGTGTGGCCCCTCGCCCATGGGAGACCGTGCTCCCCCGTGCTGGCTCCAGGTACTGCGGCTGCTCAGCTGATGTCCTCTGTCTGCTCTGTTCCTTCACACAGGCCCAGGACATTGACGAACTAGAAACCGATAACAGCCGCCTCGTCTACAGCCTGCTGCCTGGCCCCTACAGCCACAACTTCTCCCTGGGCCCCGACACAGAGCTCCTCACAAATGTGGGACCCCTGGACCGAGAGGAAATTGATCGCGCCCTGGAGGGTCGCATCATGCTGACCGTGCAGGTGGCTGACTGTGGCACACCTAGTCTCAGTACCGAGGTCAACATCACCATCACGGTGGAGGTAAGGCCTGGCGGGGCGCACAGCCAGGGCCACGCTGGGAGGCTCCCAAGCAGGTGTCTGCTCTCCCTCCCTCCTTCCACAGGAGGAGCCATGTACCTGCCCCTTTGAAACATGGGACTGGAGTGTGGTGGGTCAGGTCCTGAAAGCTGGCTTCCTGAGCTGGACTCCTGGCTTGCTACTTGGGCAGCCCTGAGCAGCACGTGGCTGGCAGCATCGGACAGTGTGACCTCAGGGCAGAGGGCGACAGGAGCAGGATGAGGACTTGCAGGCCGTGCCTGGGGAGGGACGGGTCACCAAGGCTGTGCTCGCCAAGGGCTGGTCCTCGCCAGCCCAGCAGCTGCCAGTGGGGTTGCTGCCCCTTCTTGCAGGTGAGCACACTGAGGCTAACAGAGGGCGGAGTCACACACGACAAGGTGGAGGGGTACAATCAACTGAGCTGTGCGGCGATCAGGTGCACGGAACCAGCGGTACCCCTTCTGGGGAACTGCCACCGGAAATTCAGGGGCTGTTCAAACAATTGCACTGTGACGGTGCTTGTGTGTGGCTTCCAATTATATACATATATATGTGTATATATATATATTTATATATATAAGAATTTTTATTAGAAAGTCAGATACACAGAGAGGAGGAGAGACAGAAAGATCTTTCATCCACTGATTCACTCCCCAAGTGGCTGCCATGGCCGGAGTTGTGCCAATCAAAGCCAGGAGCCAGGAGCTGGATTCCAGGTTTCCCATACAGGTGCAGGGTCCCAAGGCTTTGGGCTGTCCTCGACTGCTTTCCCAGACCACAGGCAGGGAGCTGGATGGGAAGCGGGGCTGCTGGAATTAGAACCGCCCATATGGGATCCCAGAGTGTGCAAGACAAGAACTTTAGCTGCTAGGTTACCGCACCGGGCCCATGGGATGCAGGTGTCCTAAGCAGCGTGTTCTTTCAGAAGACCCCTTCCTGCATGTCACTGAGAGGGAGACAGCTTTGTTCCCCAGCATGTCTGCTTCGTGGTTATGCAGAACATCTGTGACTTCACTCACCCATAAGCACTGGCTGGCGAGTGGCCTGCTGGGACCAGGGCACCCCATTGCCAAGCAGACAGGTAGAGGTGTTAGGGGAGAAAGCCTAAGGCACGGTTGGCTTCCCCCGGGCTATGGTGACCCAGGCTACAGCCGCATGAGGGGAGCCAGCAAGGGGAGGCAGGAGACACGGGTGTCCCAGGGCCCTGCAGCCTGGCTTGGCCAGCCAGCCGGAGCACACACCTGGTGCCAGGGGGTGAGCAGGGTGGAGGAGGGGCTACAGGAAGGAAGCAACAGGGAGGGCCAAGGGAAAGGGGGTTGTGGGCATGCAGTGGCATTGATGCCATTACAGCAAACCTGAGGGTGGGGGAGTGAGGCTGGGCCACACAAGGACACAGGCAGGGCCTGGAACTGTCCTTCTGAGAACCGGGTTCCGAATGGCTCTGAGCTGTGGTCCAACAGGAAGCAGGTGGCGCTCCTTAGTCTATAGTGGCTACAGAGCGGCCTTGGCTGCTCGGATCTGCACGTGTGTGACTTGGGCTGGCTCCCTTCTTGCGTATGGCTCCCTTCTTTCTCTTGTGACCAAGAGAAAGGCAGAGACGGAGAACATCTTCCATCCACTGGGTCACTCCCCCGGATAATTCCTACAGCCTGGGCTGAGCCAGGGAAGAGCCAGGAACCCCATCCTGGGCTCCCACCTGCGTGGCAGGGTCATGGGTACTTGATCCCGGTCACTGTGCTTCCAGGGCACATTAGCAGGGAGCTGGATGGGCAGTGGAGCAGCTGGGGCTCAAACTGGTGCTCAGCTACGGAGTGCACAGGTGTCCCAAGCAGGAGATTCACCTGACGGTGCCAACCCCGGCTGCCCCTCCTCCTGAAGACCCTTGTTCATCTGGGAAGGGGGCAGTGCCCTGTGCAGGGAGAGAGAGAGAACGAGAGAGTGAGCCCCAGGCCTCTGGGTCGTTGAACTCTTGGATTACCCAGAGTCCCTGGTGCTCAGGCCCGCCTCTGCCCACAGGACATCAACGACAACCCGCCCGTCTTCAACCAGTCTAGCTACACATTCTCCGTGATGGAGCAGGATCCAGGTAGCTGCTCACTCAGCCGCTCAGCCTGGCCTTGCCAGGGCTGCTCCTGAACCCTCCCCGGGGAAGGCTCTCCTAAGAGGTGGGTTCCCAGCATGATGGGTGCGCGAAGGGCTCCTCCAAGCTGTGTCCCTGGCCCACAGGAGCGCTGGTGGGGGTGGTGGAGGCCGAGGACAAGGACCAGACAGAAGTCAACAACCGCATCAGCTTCAGCCTGTCCGGGAGTGGGGTCAACAACTTCATCTTGCAGGGCTCCGTGCTGGGGTCTGGGGTGGCCACAGGATCCCTCTGGCTGCCACCCGACCAAAGCCTGGACCACGAGAGCCAGGCCGTCTTCCGTCTGACAGTGAGTGCCGAGAACCTGGGCTCCCAGGGCCTGGCGGCCCAGGTGGACGTTACCGTAATGGTGTTGGACATCAACGATGAGCCACCCACCCTGGTGGAAGCCTCTCTCCAGGGCGTGCGTGTGGCCGAGAATAGCTCACGGGACGGCCAGGTGGCCCAGGTGCAGGCCCGGGATGTGGACTCGAATGCTTGGCTACAGATAGAGCTCGTGGGTGTCATCTGTACCAAGGCCGGGGTCGACGTGGGTGACCTGTGCCGTACTTGGTTCTCCATGGAAAACGGCTCTGTGTACATCAGCCAAGGCAAGGCCATCGACTACGAGGCCTGTGACCTGGTCACGCTGGTGGTGCAGGCCTGTGACCTCAACACGGATCTCGGCTTCCCAGCCTGCAGCGACAGAGGTGAGGTGCAGCCTGCAAGGGTGGGCAGCCGAGGTGTCCTGGGATGGAAGCCCGGCTTGGAACCCATGGGTCTGGGTTCAAATCCTGGCTCTAGCCCTTCGTGAACTGTGGCACTGCCAAATTCCCCAGCCCCTTCCTAGCTGCCTGGTAGGGTTGGGCAGTGGGTTGAGTGTGACAATGCAATGAGAGACCACACACGAATCATGCAGTGCCGAGCCTGACATACAACAGTAACCAGTAAATGCTGACGTTGTAAAGCCATGTGCATGCTTCCAGGCCAAACATGTGTTGACATGTCAGCCGGTCATGGTGGCAACCATGGTGACTGCTGGCACATACTGAGACCTTACAACAGCCACAAGCTATGCCAGGCACCTGCTGAGCCTGTCCCCATGTTCTTCCTACGCAGCCCAGGGGGGCAGGTGACCCCCATCCAGACTTACAGATGGGGAAACCAAGGCAGAGTCTACGCATTTGAGTGTTTTTTTTTTTTAATTCTATATGAAAGGCAGAGAGACAGACAGAAACAGATGTTCCATTTGCTGGTCCACTCCCCAAGTGCCCACCATCCGGGTCTCCCGCGTGGGTGGCATGAGATCTCCTGCGTGGGGGGCGGCTATTCCACACGGCCCTTCAGGTCCACAGGAGCAAGAGGCTAGACTCACACGTGGGGCTGAGACTTAACATCCCACAGGCAAGCTGACCCGGCACGTGGGCAAGCCCAGTGGTATCAGCTGCTATGCCACGTGCCCGCCCAGTGTGCCCATGTCAGTATTGGGTTCACAGTCTTGGCCCCCCTCTCTGGCTGGGTGGCTTTGACAAGCTGCTTAGTTCCCAGAGGGGAAGGAGTGGGGAGGGTGCGGCACGGGGTCACGTGTGGGAGGGAGGCTGCGGGGAGTGCACCTGAGGCCCGAGGGGGGGATCTGGGGTCAGGCCTTCACGGAGCCTTAGCCGGCTGCCTCTGTCTTTAGGAAGCCTCGACATAACCATTGAGGATGTCAATGACAACGCACCTTACTTTGTGCCTGAGAATAAGACTTTTGGTAAGCTGTGGGCCTGGTATTCACCCTGCCACACACCTGTTCCCCCTGCCAGGCAGCCCCAGGCCCTCAAGGGATGCTGGAGGAGGAGGAAGCCCTTGACCGCCTCCTCCAGCTATGCCCCACTCCATGTTTAGACCTGAACCAAGCCTCACCAAGATCTCTGCTCTTAGTTTTGCCACCTGTTGGATGGGAGTTGGATGACTTGCTGCCTACCGACTCAGGGGCAGCTGTAATGGGGTGGGGGTCTATGCCAGAGAAGCTGAAGGCATGTGTGGTGGGAAGGGGGAAGATTGTGGGCAGCACTGGGTCAGGTGCCCAAGCCCCCACTGACGCCTTCCTGTCTGACTCGTAGTGATCATCCCAGAACTCGTGTTACCCGGCCAGCAGGTGGCTACAGTCCAGGTGAATCCTTCTTTCTGGGTGTCTGGGGTCATGGGAGCCCCAGGGCACATGGGATCCAAGTCTGCAGGTCTTCCTGCTGTGCCCTGCAAGTGTTTGCATGGAAGCATTTGTCGGGCTGAACCAGAAAGCTGCAGCCGCTTGCCTGATGGGTTCCTAGCTTGTTGCTGAATTTTGTATTCACAGAAATTTTGTGACCATCAGTTCCACTTGGCAGGTTCAGTTTTTCTCACTGCCTCAGTCTCCCTGGGTGTGACAGAGAAATCATACCAAGTAAATGAGTTCCTCATCAGCATCCAGAACGTAATTGCAAAAACATTAGCCGTTTTTGATAGGGCTGCACGCAGGTGTGTTTGCCGGAGGGTAAGGGCTGGGAGCCACCTGCGTTGCCCTGAATCTGGGCCTGGCTGGATCCTACTCACCTGTTCAGCTGACTCACCTCTCAGGGACTCAGCTTACTTCCCCAACAGGAAGCTGGAGTCACCCAGCAGGTGCTACTCCCCATGCTGTGGCAAGAACACAGGGTTAAGAGACAGATGGGTCTGACCTTTCCCAGCAGAGAGCCGAGTGGGTGGGACTCCCCGAGCCTCGGGCTCCTCTTGTTAGAGAAGCATAGCCATCTCACCCAAGGAAGACCCAGTGTCGATGAATTCTTTAACTCGACTCCGTTTTGGAATTTGCACACTGGCTCTGGCCTCCCTGCACAGTGGGACTCATGGCCGTATGGATTGATTTTGCTTTTCTCTAAAAGATAGAATGAACACACGTGTGTGTGTGTCCCTTCCCCTGGCTCAGTTCACGGTCCCCCAGGGGACTCATGGTCACATTAGGAGCCCTGAAGGGAGGGACGTCGGGGCAGGTGCCCGGCACACACCGTATGCTTAGAACTGTGCATTGTCCTACTAAGCACTGCACGTGGCAGGTGCAGCGGAATCAGTTGGGATTTGCTCATGGTGTACTGATTTGTAGAGTTGGGGCAGAGACGTGTCCAAATCTAGATTAACAGAACCACCCTGCTGCCAATCACGTACCTGCTGACTGGGGAGGGCGTGCTGGGGAGACTGGCAGGGGCTGGAGGGGGCCATGGCAACCTCGGGCCTGTTGCGGCTAGGGAGAGGGAGAGGTCCCCGGCCTGGTGCAACCCCCTAGATGTCCATTCTTGCTCTCAAGGCCAGAGACGATGACTCAGGGGCCAACGGGGCCGTCAAGTTCAACATTCTGCATGTGAATTTCGTCTCTAACGATGGAACCACGCAGACTTTCCAGAACATCTTCAACATTGTTCCCTCCTCAGAGGGCGCCGTGTTCACAGGCAGCATTGAGTAACCACCCCTCTGTGGAGGCTGGGCAGACTGGGGGATGGGGCAGGGTAGAGAGGCTCCAGGGGTAGGGAGTGACCTGTCGGGGCAGGTGCACACACCGACAGAACAGCTCGGATGTCCTCGTTTCTTCCGCAGGTTGATGACCAACCTGGATTCCGCTCTACAAGGCATCTACCAGGTGACCGTCCAGGCCCAGGACACACCTTCTGTGGGTTCTGCCCTAGAAAGTCAACTCACCCTGAACGTGAGTGCCAGACCCAGCCTCCAGCCCCAGTAGTGCCCCTGCCTGTCCCTGGAGCCTGGCATCTCATACCCCACTTCAACCCCCCCCCCCACCTTCCACAGCTTTTCACCGTGGACCAGAGCTACCGTGTGAGGCTGCAGTTTTCCATGTACAAGGATGAGGTGGGCGCCAACCTGGAGGCGATTAAACAGTAGGTCTGGGGAACCAGGAAGGGGGCTGTGGGAAAGAACAGGGCCCTAGAAGCTGCTCCCTAAGATCTGAATAAATCATTTCTCAACCTTACCTGTAACCTGCATCTGATCTTGTCCATCTCTCACCCTGTAGCTGTACCACCGTTTGGCGTATGCCCAGCCAAGGGTGGACAGAGGCCTAAGGAGGGCTGCCATGTGCCATTGTATAGGTTGTGCCCTGCACAAGGGCATTCTGCTTGCAGCAGAGGGAGCGATTTTCCTTTTCTTACTTGTGCAGAAGTGCTCCCTGCTGAGCAAGCATAGCTAACCTGTCACTCACATGCGATTCCTAACTGTACTGGCGGAGCCCTGGTCCCAGGCCTGGACTCTGTGACACTTGCTCCCTTTGCAGGGCTCTGGCCCAAGCCACCAGGACCACTGTGTATGTCGTGCATGTTCAGGACCTGGAATCTATGGCCAGGTGAATGCATGCAAGCCTCCGAGGGTAGAGGGGAGGGTGGGAGGGGCGAGCACCTGCTGGTCTGGAACAGGGCAGATGTGCTATCCCCTCTCCTGAACCTACCTTTGCTCCTTTCCAGGGCCCGGGCCAATTCCTACATGGATGCTTACTTTGTCTTCCCCAACGGGTCAGCACTGATGCTGAGCCAACTTAGTTCGTGAGTGGGGCTGTCCTGGGGTACGGGAGGAGAGCCAGATACAGCCGGTGACCCTGACTCTGAGCCAGGGTGCTCTCTGGCCAGGATGATTCGCAGTGACGAGGACGCATTGACAGAGCTGCTGCGGCTGGGGCTCGTGGTGCTGGTGAGTGCAGGTGGGACTGAGGGGCTGTGGGAGCCCGGGACCCTGCAGCAGCTCACCATCACGCCCTCTCTCCTACAGGGCTCCCAGGAGCCCCTGGATTCAGACCAGAGGAAGCAGCTCGTCATCGTCATCGTGGGACTGGGCGTGGCTCTGGCGCTGACCATCGTGATCGCAACGACGGTCTTCGTTTGTGTGCAGAAGAGGTGTTGTTGCGGGCGCCTGCTGTGGTTCTAGCCGTCTCCCTAGATGCTCAGGCGAGGGTGGGGTGAGGCATCAGGAGGGTGTGTATTCAGTCCCCAGGGGCTTGTGAGGTTTCTGTCACTGCCCCACCCAACCTCAGCTTCTTCCTCTGCCCAATGAGCATGGCACTCTACAACAGGTGTACGGAGCCACCTGTGGATTTGATTCCAGGGCCTGGCCACTAAACTGGCTGCATGGCCTTTGGGAAAGCATTGCCCTGCCCTGGCTCTCGGCTCTACCCTCTTGTGGAAGGAGCTAACGCTCTCATTCGTCACACTCCACACAGTACGCAGTCCAAGTGTGATCCCATCCCCCTCTTGTCCCCGTTTGTCCACAGTCACCGGCGGAAGCTTCGGGCTATGAAGGCTGCCAAGGAGGCACGACAGACAGCAGCAGGGGTGACGTCCTTTGGCGCTGCCATCCCCGGCACTAACATATACAAGACCGAGAAGTGAGCAGGGGTCAAAGGGTGAGTTGGAGACCTGGGGAAGTGGGCAAAGGCTGTGGCTGCTTCACTGGACTCTCCCTCCAGGGCCAACCCTATGCTGAACTTATCCGCCAATGACCTGGGTTTGGAGTACCTCTCCTCCAATGACCTAGACCACGTCAGGTAAGCCGTGGCTTCACAGCCAGGCTGGTGGCTGGTGGTGATGGTGATGGTGGTGGAGGTGGTCTTGGTCACAGACATGGAGGACCGAGCCTCATGCCAATCTGACCTCTTCCCTCCCACAGCCTCAACTCCCTGGATGACAATTCTGTGGACCTGGACAAGGACAGCCGAGACAACAAGGCAAGATGGGGGGGCGGGGGTGAGATGGTAGCCGGGGTTCCTGACTTGAGGGTCCGTCTCCGCCAGGGTGGGTGCAGGCCAGGGTTCAGGAAACCTGCTGCTGACCGGAGGCAGCCTCACATCCCTGCTCCTCAGCAGCTAGTCCTCCGTGTGTGTGTGTGTGTGTGTGTGTGTGTGTGTGTGTGTGTGTGTGTTGGGGGGATCACAGAAGAGAAGGGACAAGGAGGACAGGAGAGGACCCTTGGTGAGTGTGACCGAGTGTGTGTGGGGGGCCTGGCATCGATGAATTACGCTCCATCCCATCCCCGAGGCTAACAGAACATGCCCACCTGCTTTAGAGCCAGCAAGACGAGTGACCCAAACCCTGCTCCGTCCCCAGTTTCCACACCTGTAAAGTGGGAGACAGGCTCCCTCCCGTGGAGCTTGTCAGATGCTGATGTATCTAGCAAAGCCCCTGCTAAGGGGTGCAGGTGGATCATCCTGGCAGGTGGTGGCACTGCACTGGGCACCCTCCTTGGCACTGGGAGTGCAGCCTCGTGTTCTGCAGATCTGGGCAGGGCACCAAGGTGCTACTGTGCCTGGGTGTTGGCGGGGAGGACACAGCCAAAGTAGACCCCGCCCCATGGCCACCCCTTCACCTGCGCTTGCCTGGGACCACCCCTGGCCCCAGCTGGGAGACTGAAGCCCCAGGAAGGTGGGATGCCAGCCAGGGAGCCTTCTGGTCCCGGTTTGAAGTCCCAACCCCTCCTCACACTCTCCCCTTCTCCCCATAGCAAGAGCCACCACCGCCCAATCCCCAAAGGCCCTACGCAGAGCCCCTGAGCATGCTCCTATCAGCAAGGCAGCCCACAGAAGGCCAGCAGCAGAACCTGTCTTTCACCAACGGTGGCCTTGACACCACAGACCTGTGACGGTCGCCACTCTCCAGGGCCACCTGGGAAGAGGCCTGATCACTGCCCCCCCAACTGCCTGGATATGCTAATACATCCTGTTATCAATCACACAGTCTCGGGGAAAGATTTTATTACCAATGTGTACTGTGACAGTTTGTAGCCAAAAATCAAGGCTGGAGGGGTGGGGACAGGGACACTGGTCACAAGGGACTTGTGGGGGGGCTCACAGCACGGGGGCGGGGCGGGGCAGTGGTACACAGGGCTGGAGAGGGTGGCTACAGGATGGGGTCTCTACCTTGTCTCCAATACCAAGACCAGCTATCACCCAGGTGGCCAGCAACCCAAAACCTCCCATGTCACCCCCCCCAACCCCCGGACCTCTCTGATTCTCCTTCTCAGCCGAGCCCCCAGGTCACTGCCTGCAGCTGCTTTTGGCCCCTTTGGGCATCGCGAGCAAGTGACCAGTGGGAGGTGACAGGGTTAAGGGACTAGACCGGGCAGGTTGGAGACAGGAGTTGGGCAAGGACCACCAACAGCATGCAAGACATGGCGGGACCACGGGGGCGGCGCTGTGGAGCTGCACATGCGTTCAGAACCTGCCGCGTGCCCAGAGCCCTTCACACTCAGCAATCCACACCCGCGCGGCAGAGGGCCCGCAGTCTCCGGAGACCTCAACAGACCAGCCCGTCTCAGAAGCCTGCTGCAGTTCTGGGGAGGATGAAGGAGATGAGTGAGGGCGGTGCGCGGTCCCCCGTGCTCACCCGGTGTGACCAGGAAGTAGAGGTGAGGGCTGTGAGGGGCAAGAGGGCACATGGGCACCGGGAACTTAGTAGAAAGGCTCACCTGCGAATTTGGGGAGGGGAGGGCCCCGATAATGTCCTAGAGAGGTTGCTCACTTTCCGGAGGCCGGCCGCCAGCCACCGAGGGCACCCCTTCCAGGGGCCTGGGGTCAGGAAGGGAGCCTGAGAAGGTTGGACACCCGGGCATACAAAAAAGGCGCGCGGATCACTCGGCCGTGGGTCCCGCCCGCGAGCAGCACCGCGGCCGGCGCACGCTCTGTAGCAGCGCGCGGAACAGGCCCGGCGGACGCTTAGCTGCGCCATCCTGGGACGCGGCTCGGACCGAGCCCGCTCGGCCAGGGCCAGCGCGGGCGGCTGCTGCAGCGGCCGCGGCAGGCGGCGGGGGCGCCCCTTGGCGGCCGTGTTCCTCGATCTGTCGCTCCAGATGCTTCTGGATAGCCATGCCCAGCACTTCCACTTCCATGGAGGCCCCGTACACCTCCCACGTCATGCCCTTCTCGTCCCAGCTGACGTCGCGCACGGGCTCGGCCGCCTCCTGCGGAGCCACAGCGGCCGCCAGCACGGATCCGGGCTTCACCCGCACTTCGGGGAAGGCGGGTGGCGCAGCGGGCAGCGGCCCTGCAGCCTGTGGTGTCATGGGCCCGGTGGCCACGGAGCGCGTCTCGGCGGCACCCAGTGACACCTGCAGGCCCGCGTCGCGGCGCGAGGGCGGCCCGGGAGACTGGCTGGGCGCGAGCGGTGCCGCCTGGAAGCTGAAGGCCGGGCCACCCGCGCCGTCCTGCGGAGACATGGGGCTCACGGCCACCGAGACGCAGGCCTGCGCTCCGGCCTGCGTGCCCGCGTCCTCGCGCGGCGGCGGAGCGCTCGCGTCCCACGACGGCGCCTTGGTGAAATTGTCGCGAGTCCGCGGCCCCGCCGGGGGCGCAGTGGCCTCCACTGCCGCCAGGTCTTTGGGGCTCAGGCTGGAGACCTTGCCGCTGGCCGCCGCCGTCTCTGACCTTGTGCGACTCTCGCTGCTCCCTGCACCCCCGGCACAAGGGACTGAGCCGCAGGTTTTGCGGTCTGATTGCTGGGAGGACGACTGCACCTGCTGCACAGTCAGGGGTGCCCCCTGCGCTGAAGGCAGGGACTCTGCTTTTCCCGGAGACACGGAGGCCTCTTCCTTTCCTGAGGATTTGGGATCCGCTTTCTCCGTGGCCAGGGTCCCCTCCTTTGGCAAAGATGCTGCAGCCCCCGGCCCGCGGCGCTGTGCCTCTGCCTTGTCCCCTGACTTCAGCTCTGTCTTCCCAAAGGTCCCGGGCTCCACCTTGGCGTCAGGCACGGCACTGGCCTGCTCTAAAGGCAGAGGTCCGGCCTTGGGCCCCGGGCCAGCTTCTGCATTTCCCGGGGTCCCGCGGTCCACCTTCGCCGAGGACGAAGACACCTCCACCACCGGGTGTGTTTGTCCTGAGGCCACGGCGGCCCCCGATTCTGAAGGCACAGCCTTCACAGGCGCACAGCGCTCAGCTTCCACTCTGGCCCCGCTGGTGGCATCCATCTGGGTCGGGGCCGCAGGACCCTCCTTCTCCAGGGCCGGGGGCTCTCCTTTCCCCCGAGAAGATGGCGGATCCACCACCCTCCCGGAGGACGGAGGATCCCCGGGGTGGGAGGACGCCGGGCCGGCCTTTCCAGAAGGCTTGGGATTCCCTTGTCCAGGAGGCGTCATTTTCCTGGTTTCTGCAATCATGGGATCCGCCCCTTGGGAGGGGGAGGGGTGTATCTTGCCCTCAGACTTACACTCCACCTGCCCAGGAGACCAGGGCTCTGCAGGGTCCCATTTGCCGGAGGCCGGGAGGTCCCCTGGTTTCAGAGATGCGGTTTCTGGCTCTCCTGGGAGCAGAGGTTCCCCCTGGCCAGTGGACACCTCCTTCTTGGCCATCCTCTCAGACCCAGCACCTCCCTCTCCAGAGGGGGGAGGGTCCTCCTTTCTCAGGAGCCCAGGGTCCTGCTTCGCAGAGGTTACAGTTTCCATGTGTCCCCTGGGTGCAGGGTCCATCTCTCTGGAGGAGCCCAGCACTGCAGCAGCTGTCCCAGAGGCCACAGGCCCGCTTGCTGACTCTGCAGAGCGCAAGGGCCCCAGCTTAGCGTGTTCTGTGGACGTATCTGCCTCTCTTGCAGGCGCCGCTTTGTCCCCAGAGGCTGGGTCCACCTGCCCAGAGGACTTGGGATGCTCATTTCTGGAACACGTGGGCTCCTCCTGTCTTGGCAACACGGGATCCACCTCTCTGGGGGACCCAGCATCCTCCTTCCTTGGGGACACCGGAACCCCCTTACTGGCGCACATGGCTTCTACCTTCTGCATGTGTGTTCCATCTTCCTCTCCTGGGGCCGGGAGCGATGCTCCCCCAGGAGCCACAAGACCGGCAGGCTCTGACTTTCCCATGGGTGTGGAATCTGCCTGCTCCGCTGACTCAGAATCCATCTTCTCCAAGAACGTGGGGTTTGTGTTCTCTGAGGACCCAGGCTCGGGCTGCCCACACGAGGAAGCAGTCACTGTCCCTGAGGCTGGGGCTGCTCGTGAGGCTGCTGCCTCCTGGGTAGCCAACTCCTGAAGTGGGCTGCAGCTTTGGGAAGGTTGTCCCAGGCTCCCAGCAGGGCCCTCAGAGCAAGTGGCCACTGCCCCAGGCCCCGCAGGGCCACTGAGCCTGGAGTCCATGCTGGTGCTGTGGTCAGGGCTCTGCCTGGAGGGTGCGGGGCTGTCCTTCTGCTGGGAGGGGCCGCATTCTTTCATGGCCGGGCCCCCAACCTCCCGGCTCCCATCCTGTGGGCAGCAGAGAAGTCCCCGGGGGTGGGAGTCCTTCTGTGGCAGCTGGAGCCAGGTGGGTTCTTCAGCAGTGCCCATCTGCCTCCGTGGCCATGCTGGAGTTCAGGGCTGTCCTGTGGTTCTGAAGCAGAGAGAGGAGAGAGAGCAGGTTCAGTGTGAGGGGCCTCCGCTCACCTCCCTGCCAGCCTCCAGCTCTGCCCATCTGCCCCCCCTGCTGGCCACAGGGCATGGGCTAAAAGCAGCCCCAAGCATGTCACTTCCCTGCTCCACCGTGCCTCCTGAGCTAAGCCTTCTTGAAATGGCACTGGACTTGGACATGGCTCGACTTTTCCACTTTGCCTACTGCAACTCATTACTTGTCAGCCCCATGCCCATACAATAGGCTCCCCAAAAAACTATGCACTTGTCCTCTAGGCCAGAGGCTGCAAACTGTGCTATCACCGAGGCCAGGGCTGGGGGGTGGATGACAAAGGGGGACGGTGCTGCAGCACAGCGGAAAGGGCACGCTCCTCCAGAAGGGAAGGCCTGGAAGAAGCCCACACTTCCTGGAGCCCTGGCAGCACTCCTTCTGGGTGCCCGGAGAAGGCCACATCCAGGCTTCAATGTGTGTACCCCAGGTTCCTCTGGGGTGATGTGGAGGATGGGCTGACGCGCCGAGGGGCTGGTCAGTCCCTCCTCACTCCCTTTCATTCATGGAGTTCTGCAGACTCTGCACTGGGCCCTGAGCAGTCACCACGGTCTGTCTAGGTCTAGGGCAGAGATGGCACAGCAAGATCCAGGGAAAGCAGGGTGTGTCCACGCAGGAGGCTGGCTGGGGCTGTGGAAGAAGAGGCAAGCTCTGTCCACGGTGCTGGGCAGCACCTTCTGCAGGCAGGTGTGCCGACCGGCAGCTCAGGGCCATTGTGGACTCAGTGACCAAATAAGCCTAGCTCCTGCACACCCCACCCGTGCCCAGGCCTGCTCCAGCACCATCTCCTCGTGTTCAGGCTCAACACTCTAGACCTATGGGGTCAAGTTGAACTTTTAAAATGTTTTAAAATGTGCGTGGGCATCCCTGACTTTCCCTCACACTCTGTGTCCCAGCCATCAGCAAAACACATGGGTCTCCGATCAAAATCCACTCAACTTGAGCTGCCTGCCTGGGGTAACCCCCAACCTCTCATTTTGAGTCATCCCAGCTACACAGCTGCATACCCCAAGGCGACTTATCTTCCTCCTGGCCTCCCTTGTGACGTCCAAGCAGCCTCCTTACTACATCACAAGGTCCCTCCCGCCTCCTCCGGCTCATTCTGTCGCATTCCCGAGCTTTGCTCACCCTCCCTAGCAGCCCCCTTCGCTCTGGCCATTTCTTCTGCCCCTGGCACGCTGCCCCTCCAGGTATCTGACGGCCCACTCCCTTAAGCTTTCCTCTGCCATCGTCTGCCACTCCTCACCCTCTGACGTACCACACACACACTTGGTTTTGCTCACAGCTTGTCTCTCTCGATAGAATGAGGACACGTCCGTTTTTATCAAGGTTCCCGCTGCACTGAGCTTTCGGGCCAGTGCACCTGCCTCCAGGGATAGCCCCAAAGGCAGAAAGGTGGTGCTCCACGGTCCCCAAAGGTGTGGCTGGCAAGGAGGTGACAGCAGGAAATGTGGGACAAGCCCTCCAGGGGACACCACACGGCTACTTCAACGTGTGGTGTGATGAGAAAGAAGCCCAGGATAGGGCGAGTGAAAAAAGGCACGACATGGCGCCTGGGAGGCGAGGCATGCAGCGCAGGAAGAGGCCAGGCCAATGTGTGTTGGGTTTCTTTCTCGGGAGACACCTGGGGGGGGAACCCACACAATGCTCTGTGCAGTGACTGCCTCTTGGGAGTGGGGTGGGGGCCATGGGGGCCGAGGACCTGCTGCGTGCACCTGGATGATGTCAGAATTTTGGTCAAATGTGCACGGGGTACTCTTGAAAAAAGGAGAGAAGGGGTCAGTCAGCACTGGGGGTTGAATCACTGGCCTGTGACACCAGCACCCCACAGAGGATGCCAGTTTGAACCCCAGCTGCTCCGATTCCAATCCAGCTCCCTGCTAATGTGTCTGGGAAGGCAGCAGACGATGGCTCGCAGGCTTGCGCCCCCCCCCCCCCACATCTAGGTGGGAATCTCCAATGGAGACCCTGGCTCCTCGCTTCAGCCTGGCCACCTGCCTCCAGCTACTGCAGCCACTTAGGGGGTGAATCAGAGGATGGAAGGTCTCTCTCTCTTTTTTTTTTTTTTTTTTTTGAAATTTATTGTACAATTCTGTATAGTCTGGGATTCCTCTCCACCTAATTTCCACCCCTGACTGATCTTTCCCATAATGTCACAACTCTTCATACGGAGGAGATGGCTTTTTTCTTTTCTGTCATTCTGTCTTTCAAATAAATACAAACCTTTTAAATGCAGAAGAAAATCAAGCCTTTAATGACTGCCTGCAACCTATGCGGCCAAGTTGAACTTTCAAAATGTTTTAAAGTAAACTGATTTTATTTGAAAGTCAGAGTGAAAGAGAAGGTGAGACAGATCTTTTGGCTGCTGGTTTACTCCCCAAATGGCCACAAAGGCTAGTGCTGGGCCACTCCAAAGCCAGGAGCCAGGAGCTCTTCCGGGTCTCCCATGCGGTTCAGGGTCCCAGGATCTTGGGTGGTTCTCCACTGCTTGCCTAGGCCACAAGCAGGGAGCTGGATGGGAAATGGAACTGCAAGTACCTAAACCAGTGCCCATGTGGGATCTGGTGTCGCGGGCAGAGGTTTAGCCTGATATGACACAGTGCCAGCCACTTTAATGTGCTTCCTTTTTTCAAGATTTATTTTGATTGGAAAGGCGGATATACAGACGAGAGGAGAGACAGAGAGGAAGATCTGTCCAATGATTCACTCCCCAAGTGGCCACAACTGAGCCAATTTACACCTAGGAACCTCTTCCAGGTCTCCCATGCAGGTGCAGGATCCCAAGGCTTTGGGTCGTCCTCCACTGCTTTCCCAGGCCACAAGCAGGGAGCTGGATGGGAAGCAGGGTTGCCAGGATTAGAACCGGCGCCCATATGGGATCCTGGCACATTTAAGGTGAGGACTTTAGCCACTAGGCTACTGCACCAGGACCCTGCTAGAGCAATCTTGCCCTGCCTCCTTGCTGGCCATCTCTCTCCAAATCCCTGATCTCAGCGTACACGCCTCCTCCTCCAGGGAGCCCTCTTGGCCTTTCTATTCCTCTGGGTTGCCATGGCTTCCTGCTCCTGTCCCAAGCAGTCCAGAGGAGACATTTCCAGGCTGGGTTGCTGAGCAGCCCTCAGGCAGTCGGATTCTTAAGGCTTGCAGGTTAGGAGACAGGGATAGGGTAGTGAGGCCGGGTAGGTTGGAGGAGAGGGACCAGATGATATTTATGGATAAGACTGATATACCAAACTCCTTTAAATCTTGTGCAGGACTTGTAATCACTGAACAATGCTGACCACCAAACACCAGTCCATGCAAAAGCTAAGGCTCGGGGCTTGTCTAGTAGGATCATATCCTATAACCTGACATGATGATGGATCAGGAGACGGGTCACATCAGGCAGACACATGATATTCACTAGCACATGAAAGAACCATTTCCGGGGATAGATTCGGGGGAGGGGAGTCCAAACCCTGTGGAAAAACTAGCCCCACTGGTTAGCTCAAGAGTTGGGGTGGTGATGGGCTGAGCTAGTTATGACCAAGGAGCCTGCCATCACTCACGGGTAAAGGAACTGACAACAGTCTGGACTGGTCAAGGCAGCAGCACCCGAATGTGCATCATGAAATGGGGGTGGGGTGGGCCGAGCTGCAACGTTCACCAGCTCATACAAGGCCAAATGGGAGGCCAGACTGTGCCGGACATGGCCTAACATCCACTGGCATGAATGAGAACTGGGTCTGGGAGTGGGTCAAGTGGAAGAACTTGGGAAATTTCCCTGGTGGGTCATAGCTCCCAGTGGTGGACACATGATCCAGACCTGGGGGTCGGACAAACTGGGCAAAGTAGTTCCAACGGCTGGCTAATGTGTGGGTTGGTAATGGAACGGGGTGGACCAGGCAGAACTGAGCAAACCTTAGCCCACAAGCAAAATTAGAAATCAGGATGGAGTGCAGGTCATGCTGAGCTTCGCTCTTGCACCTACTGGTCTGCGTGAGGCAGGGATGCTAGGCCACGGCATCTAGCGTGGGGGCCAGGACAGTGAGGTGCTGAGCCAAGCTGAGTCAGAGCAAACACTGGCATGCGTGCAATCTATGGTTGAGAACAGGCCCGGTTGGAGAGCTAAAGGGACACCATAGCTGGGTTGAGGTTCCCACCAAGGAGCACATGGGCTGGAATGGGGGCTGCGTTCTGATCAGGATACGGTTGTAGTCTCCCTTGGCACAAGTATGGACAGGGACTGGATGCACCAAGCCAGGCCAGACCCCAACACCCTCTGGTGTCCTGGAGGACCAGGGTAGATCTGGGATGGACTAGGCTAGGTCGCAGTCCCTACTGAGCCATGTGTGAGCTGTATGTGGATATGGACGAGCCTTGGCTGGGCTGAAACATCCAACAGTAAGAACCAGATTGGGTTGAAGGCCAGTCAGGAAAGGCCACTGTTCCTGCTAGGACAGGAGGTGGACTGAGTAGGACTGGCTCGTGGACCCACTGGTATGCTTGAAATCTGGCATTGGGAGAGGCTCTGATGGAGGAGCCTGGGCAACTCCTCTGGCGGGACACAGACCCGGCAGGTAAGCACAAGAAGCATGGATAGGAAACAGCCTAGAACCCGCCATGGAAAGTATCCCACTGGTATACATTTTGGCATAGGTCGGGGGCAGACCAGGCTGAACCAGTTCACATTAGTCGCTGGTGAATCCATGCACCAGAACAGAGTGTGGGTCGGGCCAGGTTTGGTCGCGACAAAAACCAGTGCACAATACGGAATGCCAAGGTGAGGCGACCTGTACTGGATGTGGCCGTGTGCCTACCAGCACACGTGAGAACCAGGGAGGGAGGGGGTGGAGCTGGCAGGGGAAATGTGGGGGAGCTCCCCTACTGCTCTCCCACTGGAGAGTGTGAG